TACCAGAGCTCCTTCATTTTTTTACTGTTGTTGTTGTTGTTATGTGCCGTCGAGTCGGCCCCGACTCATAGCGACCCCTCCTTGGGTTCCCGAGGCAGTATCACTACGGAAGTAGGATTGCCCAACCCATGTTTTCACTAGTTAAGTTAAACTACTGTTTGGTTTTAAAAAGACTTCAGGGGATATTTTTGGGATTATATTTTTGAGATTATCTCAAAGCAACAGTTTCAGAGTTTTAGCCAGTCTCCATGGCTCCAGAAAGTCGGGACTCCAAAAGAATCTGAAACTCCATTCTGCATTTTTCCACTTTTTCACCAGGGTTCTTCTATTGAAGCTTTGATCAAAATGTTCAGTAATGGTTGCTAGGCACCATCCAGTTCTTCCCAGTCTCAAAGAAGGAAATAAGCCACACATTCTATATCCTTCTTCTATTCCCCAATCTCCTTCTTTCTCTGTTGCTCCAGGTGAATATAGACCAATGGTTGTGACTTGGATGGCTGCTTGCAAACTTTTAAGACCCCAGGCACTATACAAAGAACTAAGAGTAGAACAGAAGCACTAATCACACAGGCCCATTAACTGGGATGTCCTATAAAACCATAACCCTAAACATCAAAACCAAGGAACCAAATACCATGAAGTATTTCGGTGTACATTAGCAGCCTGAGCAGCTTCTCTTTCTTTCTTTGCCCTTAATCATTGTTGTAAATAGGTATGCTACACAATTTTTGCCAATTCAGCTTTTTACAGGTGTATAACTTATTAACAAAAATTACAATAAGTGGCTATGTAACCCTAACCTTAATCAATGCAATCTTCCATCACCATAAATCAAAATTCAGTACTCCATAAGCAACAATCCCTCTTTTCTCTCTCCCTCCTGCCTCTGGTAGCCACTAATAAAACTTTAGCTCCCTGCACTGAGACCACAGCCCCTAGTTGCCTAATATAGGTGGGAAGGCAGAGTATGTGATAGCTCAAGTTTGTGAATATTCTCTTCTGCTTTTTCAAAAAGGGAGAATGCAAGATTTTTGTCAGCCCCAGGGTTACAGGTGAGGAGAGACAACTCAGGGACGCCCAAAGTAGCAGGCGGGAAGAGCAGGAGAAAAGGGATTAAAAGCCAGGAAGCCAGAGAGAAGAGCAATCAGCCGAAGGCATTAGGTGAGGAGAGGAAACTCAGGCCCGCCCAGAGTAGCAGGCCAGAAGAGCAGGAGAAAGGGGATAAAAGCCAGGAACCTGGACAGCAGAGAAGTCAGCCCCAGGGACAACTCAGGGACGCCCAAAGCATCAGGCCAGAAGAGCAGGAGAAAGGGGATTAAAAGCCAGGAAGCCAGAGAGAGGTACAGTCAGCCACAGGGACCCAGGTGGGGGTGATACAAGAGGTCTCCAACAGCAAAACAAACTTGTCTGTCAGTTTGTCCTACTGTGGTGACATGTAGACGTGAG